TTACGAGGGGGTTGGGGTTTCCGGAGGTGGAGGGGGAGGGGGAGGGGGAGGCGGGTTCGGGGAGGTGTGGGAATGGGCATTCTGCTTTGAGTTTTATTCCTAAGTATGAGGATGAGTATGAGTATAAGGACGAAAAGGATACTGAAAGTGAAGAGGAAGAGATGTTCGCAGGTGTTATGTTTAAGAGACCGACGGGGAAGGGGAAGGGGAAGATGGAGGGGAAAAGTAGAGAACAATGGAAAAGTGATTGGGAGGGGGTATTGAATGGGTATACGGATGAGGTATGGGGGGATTAATACCTTTAGTACGAGCTGCAAAGAAAGAGTTGGAGAGAGAGGGCAAGGAAGAGCGAGATGGAGATGGAAAGGGAAAAGAAATGGGGGGATTCGAGTGCTTTGAGGAGATTGGGTGCTGTGTTGGGGCATCTGAGAAGGGAGGGAGGGAAGGGAGGGAAGGGGGAAAAAGGAGAGGAATTGAAGTGTGTAGCATGAGGTGGGACAGGTGGGCATGATATGTAGGTAATGGGAATCGAAGAGGGGGTTTGCTGTGTGGGTGGGTACGAAGCTGAGAACCAAGGATCTGGAAATTGACAATTCGTGACCTAAATAAAAGATCCTATCTTCCCTCTGTAGACTCAGAGCCTCCGTAAAGGTAATCAATTGATAATTTCAATACTAATTTCAATGCCGAGTCTCTGATTCCAATAAAAAGAGCAATCCATTCCGTTCCGTACATAGGATACCAAGCCCCTTTGAAGGTCCTCTTGATTACCGAGTAGATAGTAAAGAGAGCACAGCACTCATCCCATCTCATCCCATGCCATAACAATCCAGGGTATTCAATAGTACAGACTGCAGTCCCACAATAAGATATTCCTATTATTTTTGGAACAATGAATTGTTTGAGATAATTCAATGGTTTTCAAAGATTCAAAATATTTTCGAATACGGGAATCTGTCTAATTGGACTATAGGCTGTCTGTCTGTCTGCATTATTGGATATATACCCTGATCATTGATGCTATCCTATTATACTCCTTCCTTTCCTCTCTTTCGCTTTCGCTTTTGAGCGGGTTCTCTTATTTATTTACTTATTTACTTATTTACTTACTCAGTACTGTCAATACCATACCCACACCATACCCATACCATACCAGGACTCTACAAGCATCTATCTACTCGAGTAGATCTGTGCCATCTATTATATCTACTCAAATACTTGAGTATATAATTCTGTATTTCGTTTCAAAGTATGATGTGACTACTCGAGAGTACAACTATAAATGCATATTCACACACACAAACACACATCATATTCATATTCATATTCAAATACGAGTAAAGATATTTTCCTTTTTCATTCCAACACATTGTACTCGAGTATATGGGTACTACAAGCCGCACGCCGAAGGAAACTGCAAACAACAACAACAGATATCATACCACTCCCAACCGGCTATGCTACATTTCATTTCATTCCGTTCCATGCTCGGCTCAAAGATTCATAGATCATTCCTGATCTTGGATTGATATCCGTTCATCTCTTTGATCAATCTTCCTTCATCCTCTCCAGAACCTTTTCTTCTCTCGGTCGCTTGTCATATCATCACCCCCCTAAACACACTCTCGATCCCCTTCCCCTAAACTATTACTCCATGCGCAAAACTTAAACTTCTAGTATACACGCTTGAAAGGTGGGACAGCTTTGCACTCGTTCTCATCCAAAGTATGACTTACAACGGCTCTGTAGGTCAAATCGACTGGGCCTTGTGGTTTCTTTTGGAAAGTCAAAGAATGCTTCATCCATTCCTTATCATCTCTGTCTGGGTAATCTTCACGGGCATGTGCTCCACGAGATTCCTTTCTTGCGACAGCTGACTCGGCAGTTTGAACACTAGCTTAAGTTAGTATAAAATATTCGAAATAATGAAAACATGTACTTACGCGCAAGTCAACAAGTTTCTCAATTCTAAGGTTTCCACCAAATCCGAGTTCCAGATCATACTTCGGTCTTTAGTCTTAACATCCTTGAATGTTTGATCAACAGCTCTGATCTTTGTGACACCCTCATCCAAACTCTCTTGAGTTCTGAACACACTGACATCTGTCTGCATGACCTTTTGCATAGCTAGACGGATTTCATGTGTGCTCTTGGTACCATCGGCAGTTCTGATCTGGTCAAGAACGCTGATAGATTCGGCACCGGCATCGGCGCTGATCTCCTTGTGTGGCTTTCCTGGCTCAAAGTTATCGCGAATGGTGTGAGAAACCGCACGACCAAACACAATCAAATCAAGAAGGGAGTTGGCTCCGAGACGGTTTGCACCATGCACAGAAACACACGCAGCTTCACCGCATGCGAAAAGACCTGGTACAACCTTGTCCTTACCATCAGAATCAACAGTGAGAACCTCACCGGTGTACTTGGTTGGGATACCACCCATGTTGTAATGAACAGTTGGTAGAACTGGGATAGGTTGCTTTGTAACATCGACACCGGCGAAAATGGACGCGGTCTCCGAGATACCTGGAAGACGTTCATGGAGAACATCAGGCGGAAGATGGCTGAGTTGGAGGTAGAGGTGATCCTTGTCTGGACCGACACCACGCCCTTCTCTGATCTCCATGGTCATTGATCTAGAAACAACGTCACGAGAAGCCAAATCTTTAGCAGTTGGTGCGTAACGTTCCATGAACCTTTCACCCTCAGAATTGAGAAGGTATCCACCCTCACCACGAGCGCCCTCAGTAATCAAGCAGCCGGCGCCATAAATACCGGTAGGATGGAATTGTACGAATTCAAGATCTTGATTAGGTAGACCGGCACGAGCAACCATAGCCAGTCCGTCACCAGTACAAGTGTGCGCGGATGTACAACTGAAGTATGCACGCCCGTAACCACCAGTGGCCAAAACAGTATGGTGCGCACGGAATCTGTGGAGAGTACCATCTTCTTGATTATATGCAATGACACCCTTACATTCACCATCTTCCATGATCAAGTCGAGTGCGAAGTATTCGATGAAGTAGTTTGTGTTGTGCCTTAAGGATTGACCGTAAAGAGTGTGGAGAAGTGCATGCCCGGTTCTATCAGCGGCTGCACAACATCTGTATGCTTGGCCACCCTTTCCGAAGTTTTGTGATTGACCACCAAAGGCACGTTGATAGCTAGACAAAATTGTGTTAGTAAAGTACCACAAATGGGCTACCAGTTATTCTTACATTTTGCCATCGTCCGTTCTTGAAAATGGGCACCCGTAGTTTTCTAATTCAATGACAGATGCTGGTGCTTCTCTTGTCATATAATGAATAGCATCTTGATCTCCTAACCAATCTGAACCCTTAACAGTATCGTACATGTGCCATCTCCAGTCGTCCTCGTGCATATTACCCAGGGCAGCGTTGATACCTCCCTGCGCGGCTACAGTATGACTCCGAGTTGGGAAAAGCTTCGATATGCATGCGGTGTTGAAACCAGCCTCGGCAAGACCGAATGCTGCTCGTAGACCTGCTCCTCCTGCACCGATAACAATGGCATCATATTCGTGATCCTGCCCAAACAATCAGACATAACATTCATTCACTTGTGAAGTCGAGATACGTACTACGACCGGATATTTATTGCCCACGAAAGGCGAGGCTTCCTTTGCTCGAAGTGGCGCATGTGTGATAATTCGAGCTGCAGATGGGATATTAGCCAACGGATCTGTACATTATAAACTCTGGCAGACATACCTGCAGGTCTCGTCGAGGAAAAAGCTCTAGTTTGACTCTTCAATGCCTTCGATAACTACAACAATAATAATAAAGATTAGCTTTGTTACTCTTCTGTCCTTACCAGACGCGGGGGGCCCGAGGTTGGAGGGAGTTAGAGAGTGGAACATACCGAAAGACCAGCTGTGAATCTACGCATAGCAAATGAAGACATGTTGTAGAATATTATGAGAAGGTATGAAGAGGGGAGAGATTGAGTAACACCAGAATTAATATGAGGTCTCTCTATAGACCTTTGAGGATTGACAATGGAGGCAACTCAGGTTAGTGCAAGGGCGTTCCAAATCTTTCAGTTCGGGGATTAAACATAACGATGATGGCTCGATTGTATATTAGTAAGAATATTTTGGATATATTTATCAATCGAACCAATCATGTAAAGCTATTTCCAATTATTCCCTTTGACATTCCGACTCTCCGACCTTCCGATTTCTAGTAGCCGAAATCCGGAAAAACCCGCCCTACCAGAATTACCAAAACTGCAAAAACCATCAAATATACCTTCTGTAAAATATAATATAATAATATCCTTTACAATGATTGGATTTGTTCAATATTACCAACAATTATAAACGAAAAGGAAGTAAAAGAACTTATCTAACTTTTACACAAATATATTGAGTGGTTGAATTGATATAAATTCCCATAGAAGAGATATCTATGATATGTTTTAAACCTGCTGTGTGGGTATTTCGTATTCGGGAAGGATATCCGGTAATAAGATCCTCGGATGATTATATGGGGGAAGACATAAAGAATATCGTCTCGTCATGATGATAGCCGACATCTAGATCCCGAGATATTCAGCTGTACATCAAGAAGAATACCAAGTGGTCTTGTCGAGGTCCGAGGTTATCTCAGTTCTCAGAGATTTTCTACACTGTATTAAGTACCGGTATACATTGTATTGTATATGGTACGAATCATTTCCAATTCTCAACAAGTCGGTACAGTCAGTGTTTGTGTGTTAATGTTACTGACATTTCTTTCAATTATTATTATTTAATTTTAATTTATAGTCTGCCTCCACGGCAGTGGCTCCCGGAGGGCTAGCGGAGCGTCATATCAATTTATTACTACTATGAAGGGGGCAAGCCCCCAAACCCCCATACTCGAAGATTTCTACTTCAAAAGATGATAGTATCTCCTTTCCAAATGGTCTCATATAAATGGTGTTTCTGTTCATTGCCGTCTGAACACATATGTGCTCTTGGAACTATTTACTTGGGATGATTTGAATGGTATTAGTAGTACAGGTGTGGTCCAAAATATCAATACTATGTTATGGGTTGTTTTCACGCCCCAGCATTCGGTAGCGTGCAGTGCAGTGTGTCAAACGGATAATTAGTTTCTTATCTTGGCAAGTTAATTTCATGACAATCCTTCTCTTTACTTGCGGCAATGAGGTTGAAATGCCTATATCATATCACAAGTTGTAAGATGGCAAGCCTCCTTCCCCACAAGTTTTCCCCGGCAAAAGTATCTCGTGGTCATTTCAAAAGTATGTGATGACCAGGATGATTACCGGTAGAAAGACTATACGCCACCTACTTATATCAAAATATATTGGGATATAATAGACATTATCCTTGTATCACGTTCGCCGGCAAGACCATCCGTATCATTTACAATGTTATGGAAATACTGCTCAAGCGATCAAATGGTTCATGGCATTGCCTATCTTTCAAAATCTGGAGCCTGAGCAGAGTTCAAGTTATCCAATAAGTCCAGACTGCAGTCTATTGCAATAATAAAATATCCTCAATTCCTGAATATATCTCAAAAATTATTTTGATATAAATTATTGATTATATTAAGAATATTAAAACTATTTCAATTATTAAATAGATTTTAAATAATGAATTACTTAAAATAATTCAACTGTTTTCAGAGATTAAAACGATTTCAATTATCAAATATATTTGAATAATTCAATTATTTTTAGAGATTAAAATTATTTCAATCATCAAATATATTTAAAATAATGAATTACTTGAAGTAATTCAATTGTTTTCAGAGATTAAAACGATTTCAGTTATTAAATAGATTTTAAATAATGAATTGCTTGAAATAATTCAATTATTTTCAAAGATCGAAAATATTTCGAACGTTGGAATCTCTCTAAATGGATACAGTCCGGACTATTGGATACCCTGATCTGGAGAGGTCTTGACTTTCCCTCAATATCCTAATTCCCGCTCTTGCTTTCTTTTTTGATATCCCATGAATATGTTGTTTTGAATTCATCCTTAACTTATCACGACATTTCTCATTAGCGATGTCCCCTTGAACCCCAGTGGGACCATATATAGGCAGGATTACCTGCCCATACTGGAATACTTCATCTGAGAGCCCTTATTCTTATATACGTTTCTGGCAAAGTATTGTAGAAAGCTACCAATATGAGGCTCCCAAGTCTGCTTTGTGGCATTTTTGCCATTGCTTATTATGGTAGGGTTTATCCCCAAAAGTATCAAGTTCACACACATTCTCACAATTTATAGCTGTTCGCGAGGTATCAGGTCAAGATTTTGCCACTCATGGCTATTATACCGAGCCCAATACAGGTATTACATTTTATACAAGCAATGAAGTCAATGGCACAATCGTTGGCGATGGAGAACTTTCATGGGTTTCACAGGGAGGCTACACTTTCGGAATGGCATTACCACCCAGTGCATTGACTACGGACTCGTATGATTATATTGGCTTGATTGTGAGTCTCGTCATCTCTAGTTATACCCCCTGTTTTCGTGCTGATTGGAATAAGATTGGATCACTTCCCGATGGCACAGGGTGGAGTGGTGTTGTTCATGGCCAACAACTTAGTGCTTCAATGCCAGGACATCTGCTACTAATTGCTTGGCCTTACAATGGTCAAATCATAACTTCATTCCGCTACGGGTAAGTCTTCTTTCGACTTCCACATCTATAATCATTATACATTATGAGCTGACTGATATCGATTAGCTCTTATGCTACACCTGTCCTGTATGGCGGATCTGCGAGCGTATCGCAGCTCTACTCCTCTGTCAATTCTACACACTGGGTTCTCGTCTACAAATGTACCAATTGTAACAAATTCGATGATCCAACTCAGACGGCGTACAATGTTAGCACATCGGCAGGTGGCTTTGAGTACGGATGGGCCCAAAACGTTGGGGCTCCGGACAATCCTGCTGATCCTGCCAATGCGGTTATATATCGTAAGATCCTTGAATAATTGTCACATTTCGAGCTCATGAATATCATTTGTGTGTCTCCAAGTGGCATATGCAATATTTCTGAAGTTATTATAATCCTTCTGAACACATACTAATAATTGCAGAGCACAACAATGGCATGGGCGAATTTTCAATTAAAGTAGCATCTGCAACACATTCTTCTTACTCTCAATGGGCCACCAGATCCGCCACTATCACAGCAACTACTGGTACAGCCACTGCGACTGCTACTTATTCCACGGCGCCAATTCCAACTTCCACGTCTTATGACTATATTGTTATTGGTGGAGGGGTGCGTACAATCTCTTTTTCGGTTGTTTCCTGGCATTGAGGAAAGGATTGATCATGAGGATATCATATTCTTATGCAACTTCTCAACTCCCTCTCGCGTCACGATATGAATACTAATCCTTATTTGTACATTTATAATCGGGATACTGATCATTTTTCTTCTCTAGGCTGGAGGAGTTCCAATGGCGGACAAACTCGCACAAAGTGGAAAATCGGTTCTTTTGATAGAAAAGGGGGTGGCTTCTTCGGCTAGATGGGGCGGGAGTAAGTACCTCTACACATTCACCATGTCATATTCACTAATGACCCTTTAGCGATCCGACCTGAAAGTGGCTGGCTGTCTGGAACTAATCTCACGTGGTTTGATGTGCCGGGAGAGTGCAACAGAATCTGGAATGGAGGAACCATTGGTGTTGCTTGTGACGATATCGATCAAATGGCTGGATGTGTTCTTGGTGGAGGTACCGCTGTCAATGCAGGGTTATGGTGGAATCCAGATCCAACAGATTGGGACTACAACTTTCCTCCTGGATGGCAATCTAAAGATGTAGCAGCAGCTTCTGCGAGAGTTTTCAGCACAATCCCCGGCACGGATCACCCTTCAATGGATAACAAATTATACCTTCAGTCAGGATATAACGTCGTTGCAGGAGGTCTGAAAAATGCCGGCTGGACAAATGTTACGGCGAACAGCGTACCAGCTCAGAAAAACCGAACGTTCTCCCACACCACATACATGTACATCAATGGGGAGCGTGGTGGACCACTAGCAACCTATCTAGTGGATGCAAACAAACGCTCCAACTTTCACATGTGGCTCAACACTAGTGTCAAAAGAATCATTCGTGACGGAGGACATGCAACTGGTCTACAGCTCGAAGCTACAAATAATGGCGGCCGACAAGGAGTGGTCAGTTTAACTGCAGTCACAGGCCGAGTGATAGTAGCAGCCGGTGCATTCGGAACTCCCAAACTTCTCTTCAGAAGTGGAATCGGTCCCACAGATCAACTAAATGTAGTTCTTTCCTCGACCGACGGACCAACAATGATCAACTCAAGCTACTGGAACAATCTCCCCGTCGGATACAACCTTGACGATCATCTCAACACCGACACCCAAATCTCGCATCCAAATATATCCTACTATGACTGGGTCGCCGCATGGAATACGCCCACCACCACAGACGCCACCAACTACCTCACCAAACGCACCGGACCTCTCGCCCAAGCAGCCCCAGACATAGGTCCCATATTCTGGGATCAAATCACCCCCAGCGACGGCATTCCCCGCGCCATCCAATGGACGGCCCGAGTCGAAGGCGACGTCCCTACAGCCATGACCCTCTCTGCTTATCTTGGACGTGGCCAGGTCGGTCCCCGCGGCAGAACAACAATCAGTAAAGGTCTAACCATGTCCGTATCGACCATGCCTTGGGGAAACACCTACGATCTCGCTGCAGTCGCTACCGCCATCGATCATCTAGTCTCGGCATTATCAACAGTTAAAAACCTGACGTTTATTTATCCCCCACCAGGTACTACCGGCACGCAATATGTAGCGAGTGTACCGCTTACGTACTCGAATATTGGGGCGAGACGCGCGAATCATTGGTTGGGAACTGCCAAATTAGGAACAGATTCGGGGTTGGTTGGGGGGACGGCCGTGGTGGATTTAAATGCACTCGTTTATGGAACGGATAATATTCATGTTGTGGGTATGTATCAACCCCTCACCCCCCATCTTAACCTCTCTATCCTATCCCATCCACAAAGCCATTAACTAACCCCCCATCCCCCAAAAGACGCATCCATCTTCCCAGGTATGCCCTCGACAAACCCCAGCTCCCTCATCGTCATAGCCGCCGAACACGCGAGCCAGAAAATCCTCGGTCTGCCGATCCTCAAAGCATTACCGCAATTTGCGCAATGTGGAGGATTGTATTTTGATTATACGACAGGGGCTGCGTGTGCGGCGCCGTGGCATTGTGCTGTGGGGAATTCTTATTATTGGCAGGTATGTTTTGGGGTTTTCTTGTGTGGGGGGGGTGGATGGATGGATTAGATGGAGATTGAGAATGAAATATTGATATCGCTAACTTTGAAATTTATAGTGTTTGTGAGGTTGAAAGTTGGAGCGGGTGAGGAAGGGTAAGGAAAGGAATTTTGGAGATGATGAGATGGTACGATGGTACGAGTCACTTGCATAGGAGGAAGAAGAATATGAAAAGAGAGGAGAAAATAAGAGAAGAGGAGCCCATAGAAAACATATTTCTTTTGTACATACCCTTTTTGTATATACATAGGTACTTCTATACATACTTTATTCTCACATCTTCACATATATACTCGAGTACATACACAATCTTTCCACATACTCTTCTTCCCACTCATTCTACGAGTACACCATCCATCCAACACCGTGACTTATTATTATCAACGAAAGAAACTCCCAAGAAAAAATGTTTACCCGGTAGATACAGTAAGAATAAGGGTACATACATTATTAACCTTAAGGGTATACTCGGGGGGGTTTAAAAGACGTATAGGCAAAAACAAAAGAATCACTACTAGCCTAATTTTATATAATGTTTTACAAAAATTCTAGATATTATTAATTAGCTAATTTTAAGCTTATATATAAAATTTCATTTTAATCTAATATGATTTGGATTAATAATTATATATTTAAATAAAAGAGTTTCAAATTTAGAGCTTTTTATCTTTAAATTCTAAATAAATGATTTATAATATGATTTTGAATAAAATTTATGTGATTATAATGAAACTAGTTCTAAAT